AATGTGCTGAGTTCATCTGTGCACTGCTCTTCTGTGTAACAGTGGACCCTGCTAATCACAGAAAGAGGAGCAAAGTGGCTGAATAGGAAACCTTGATTTACTGCTAATTGAAAAAAACTTAAAATAATATGATCACTTCCCCCCTCTGGAGCTAAAGAGCTATGTGACATGCATCCAAAAGTAGATCCCCAAATCTATGAGTATAACTGACAAAAGGTATGCTACTTTTTTGCTCATTTTCAACTTGGTGAATAAAATTTCCAATCACATAGAGTATTGCTAGAATTGCTAATAGATAGTAACAAAAAACACATTGAATGTGGAAACTGGAGACTTCGGTCCTAGATTCAGTTTCTTGACCAGGTAGCTAGGTTTCTGGCCACCCTTAAATATTGAATCTCTCTGGGTCTCAGTTCTTTCTGGTGTAAATTGAATGGATTGAAGTGAGCTTATGGTTAAGGCTATATGCTACATCTGAATGAGCCTCTGATTTTAACAGTTTCAGTATTACTGCTATGACATATTTTTTGCTCTCATTGCTTAGTTAACTTGTTCCTGGGTATCTGGGGTTCAACTCAATGTGGGCCAACTGGCACTGTTACATTTCATGTCCATGGATGTGACTCCTCACAAAAACAGATTTTCTTTTAAATACAAAGTGCTTCTCACAGCAGAGATTGCACACAGGTAAAGGCACACCAGTTGCTACAATTGAAAGAAAAATCTCAAAATGTATGTCCTAGTCACTGTTAACCTCATTTAGGAAGCAGAAGTAAGCAAATGCTATCTTTGCTGATCCCAAAGTTGTGTCCTGAATTTAGATTTAGTCAAAAGTGAGGGCAGTGCATGAAGGATGAGGGCTGAGTGAATGACATGGAGAGATATGGGTAGTAAAAACTATGGAACCAACCTCACTGTGATCTCAGGACCTAAACACACAGGGTACACACAGGTTTTTTTGTTTCGTTGTTTGTTTGGGGTTTTTTTTGGACCACATGGTATTACCTGGAAACAGGGCTTCTTAAGAAAAGTAAAACAAACAACAACAACAACAGCAATAAAAAAATCCAGACTAAGTTGCCAACTTGGGCAAAGTCCAGATATCTGGTTTCTCCTGAAACATCAGTTTGGCAACCCTGGGTCCTGAAATGCAGCATGTCAGCAAGTTGCCGGAGAATGTGCAATGCCTACCCCTTTCATATGGGCTTATTGTGTTCCTATTTTCCACAGTCCCCATGACTCTCTACTGCCAACCCTGAGGCCTAATAAAGTTACCATTTACCATGTTTCTTGGAATGTTATTTTCAGATAGTAAAGTTAAAAAATAAATCTGTTCTTTATATCCATGTTTTCATTTAAAGAATACAGGACTTGCCTGGTGGTCCAGTGGTTAAGAATCTGCCTGCCAATGCAAGGGACATGGAGCGGGAAGATCCCACATGCCCCAGGCCAACTAAACCTGTGCACCATAACTATTGAACCTGTGTTCTAGAGCCCGAGAGCTGCAACTCCAAAGCCCACATGCTCTAGAGCCTGTTCTCCACAAGAGAAGCTACCACAATGAGAAGCCTGCACACCACAACTTGAAAGCAGCCCCTGCTGGCCACTAGAGAAAGCCCATGTGCAGCAACAAAGACCCAGCACAGTAAAAAATTATATTAAATCTAGGCCAAGTGAGATGTGTGCTTCTTACGCCCTCTGCTTTGCATCTTATGTTATATGCCTCTCTCCTGCAAATAACTGAGTTTTCAAGCCTTGTTCTAACTTATCTGTCTTTGACATAAGAAGCAAAGAAGAAGAAAAAAACATCCAGCTGAACTAGAGAAGAACAGTGTAGAATATTAGCTGAAATCCTCTTCCTCATTGAAATATATGTTTGTTTGGATTGTGATTCCTTAACCAGTTTGAAGCAGTCAGGGTTAGATTTTTGGAGATCTTCCCTATTTTGCAGGTGAGGGCTGGGGAAGGAAGAATAGGGAGGAGGCCAGCAAGGCACTGATATGGGAGTGAAGACTCTTCCTCTCGCCTGTCTTGCCTGGGAGCCAGCTCACTAAGGATGCCAAGGAATGCCCTTGTGGTAAATTTGCCAGAGCAGCTACTGTCCACAATTCAGCTTGCTCTAATTATTTGTGGTTCCCACTTTAACCTGGAAATCTCTCCAGAGAAATACTTTAGGGTTTGAGGTTTGCTGTCTCAAATTCTGAAGGCCTTGGGAAAACTTGGAAAGACTGCTGCAAGGAACTTTTATTAGTTACTTTTTAGACTAGATCCACAGTAGCTGATCACTCCAGAAGGAACAGCTTAATAGTGAATCTAATTAAATATCCAAGTCTTGAGCTATGCTCTTGTTCTTGTGTGACCTTATTTCTCTCACCTTTTATGTTCCGCAGTTCTTTAATTAATGAGATTATGAAAATTTCAAAGGAACTACACACATGTGGCACCCTTAAAATGCTAGTATAGGCATGAAATTAGATTATGAAATTGGGAATAAAGACAAGTCATAGCATTTAAATTTAACTTAAAGTGAAGTTTTTAATCAATTTTATTTTCAGTTGCTCCCTTATTCCCCCAAGAGAAAACAAAACCTGGAGCCATCAGGGATGAAATTGTTAAATGACCGTAGAAATTGACTTGTTTTCTGGGACTCTTTTAGAGACATGGAAACACAGTTTTTGTGTGAGCACATCCTGGTGGGAATTTGATGGAATATTTATGTAGGAAAAAGTCAAACTCAAGACTCAGATAAACATGCCGACACTACAGTATTCACCCAGTGCTTAGCCCTCTTTGGTTGGGAAACGACATGAGAACAGTCTTTGTTTTTATATTCCAGTTCATTACTGGTGGGAAGTTAGCCAACAAGAAAATGCTGTCCGAACAGCTTCAGAATTCAGACAAAGAATCACGTCAGTTCTTATTTTAGACGAACTGGTTCTGCCGTTCCTCTTTCAGAGAAGTACAGTGGGTTTCCCCTGGTGAGCCTAATTGAAAGGACTTGCTTCCACTTGAAAGATGCAGTAAACATCTGGCAAGTGAGGAGAGGTTGGAACTGTGTAGAAATCTTGGAAGAAACCAGGAGCCAGAGGCATAACTAACTAGATTCAGGGCCAGGGTCACTGGTTTCATCATGACTCCTCCATTCATTTGACTTTGACCTTGGTTGTGACTTGATTATGTGTTTCCCTCTGTTCAATGGGAATGATGAGATGGTGAGTCACATTTACCATTGAGACTATTAATTGTGAATAACTGAAAAGCCCTTTGCAAGCAAGGGCTTCCACAGGAGCCCAATTTTGCTAAAACAGTTGGAAAAAAATTGATAGTGTACACATTTCAAGGCAGTAATAATAAACTGTAGATTTTGCTGTACAAGGAAATACATTCTTCCATCATTCCAGGATAACTGTGAGCTTTTATTTATTTACTTTGCCACTCCACTCAGAATGTAGGATCTTAGTTCCCTGACCAGGGACTGAACCTGGGCCCCCTGCACTAGAAGTACAGAGTCCTAACCACTGGACTGCCGGAGAAGTCCCTGTAAGTTTTTATTATTAAATGCACCCCATGGTAGAACAAGGAGTGCAGAAGCAGCAGGTAAGACCAAAAATAGTAAAAAGAGATTTTCATTTATTCATTCACTCAACAAATATTTATTGAACTCTTTCTATGATCTCTGCACTGGGTTGGAAATAGTAATTAAACACATAAAGTCTTTGTCCTTATGAAGCTCATTGCCTAGTGAGGATAGAGAAAATGGCAGTAATAAATTCGAATCCCAGTAGTATGGGCAAGGAACCTCTTGTGTCTTTTTTTTTTTTTCCTCTTGTGTCTTTTTATATGTGAATATGAATTTTTATGTCAGAAAACTGGGATTGTACATAACCCTAGAATTCATTCTAGGATTAAATGGAGTATTTCATAGAAAGTACTTAGCATGATACCTGAGAACAATGAGATATTTCTGAAAATAGAGAATATCTTTTTTTGCAAACTTATTTGTAAAAAATCTAGATCACTGGAGGAATTATTATTAACTATTGGAAGACTTCCATTGATAGAGGTTTGAAAAAAAAATACAGAATTAGGCAGTTTAGCCTTGCACACAATTATAGCTTGACACACAACCTCAAAGAGGCATCCTGGTAGGCTGAAAAAAAAGAAATAGAAGAAAGGAGACCTGGAGGCTAGTCTTGGCTGTGTTACAATGTAACTGTGAAATCTGGGAAAACTCACTTGATGGGTTTCAGTTTTTTCAACTATTAAATGGATTGGTACTTGAATTTGTATCCTATTCCAGTTCTAAATTTGATGATCATCTATAACAAATATTAAAGTGTTAGTCACTCAGTCATGTCCAGCTCTTTGCGACATCATGGTCTGTAGCCCCCCCATGCTCCTCTGTCCATGGAATTCTCCAGGCAAGAATACTGGAATGGGTAGCCATTCCCTTCTCCAGGGTATCTTCCTGACCCAGAGATTGAACCCAAGTCTCCTGCATTGCAGGCAGATTCTTTACTCCCTGAACCACTTGGGAAGCCCCAAAATATTATTACAAGTAGTAGTCAAAATACTGTGCTAGTACTAATTTCTTTTAAGTGAGGATGAAGACATGGGCCACTGATAATGAACATCATTTATATGTATAGGAGAAGATAATAACAGAAAAGAAAAAAAATATTCCAGACTAAATTTTTGACAGAAAGATTAATATAAGTGTGTGTATACACGTACTTAATAGTATTTCAGATTACCACTGATGGTGTTACTTAAGAAAACTGACAAGCAAATCAACTTTAAAAAATTATTTTTTGGCCGTGCCATGCAGCATGTGAGAACTTGGTTCCCTGACCAGGAATTGAATCCTGCATTGGAAGCATGGAGTCTTAACCACTGGACCACCAGGGAAATCTGTGATAAGCAAATCAGAGAACTAATTAGGAATATGCTCAAGCATAAAGGAAAATATGCATGGACTACTTAATTTGCTGAAAACAAACCTTTTTAGAGAAGGCAGTCCTTGAATAAGATAGATCAGTGGTCCTCAAAGGGCAGTTCTTGGGCCACCAGCATTAGCATCACCTGGGAACTTGTTAGACATTTAAGTTATCAGGCTATACCTGTCCTGTTTAAAAACAAAAAACAACTGAGCATGGGGCCCAGCAATTTGTTTAACAACCCCCCCAAGTGATTCGGATGCATGCTTACATTCAATACCCACTAAAGATGGACAGGGAGGCCTGGCATGCTGTGATTCATGGGGTCTCAGAGTCGGACACGACTGAGTGACTGAACTGAACTGAAAGAGACTCTTGTCCAGATAAGTACTAAAAACTGAATAAAGACTAGCTAGGGAAAAATGAGTTAGGGATTAATTAACTCCTTCGCATATTTATTCAGAATCTACTATAGGACTTGCCTGGTAGTCCAGTGGTTAAGAATCAGCCTGTCAATGCAGGAGACATGGGTTTGATCCCTGGTCTGGGAAGATCCCACAAGCTGTGGAGCAGCTAAGTCTGTGTGCACAACTACTGAGCCTGTGCTCTAGAGCCCAGGAACTGCAACCAGTGAGCCTATATGCTGCTACTACAAAGGCCCATGCGCCCTAGAGCCAGTGCTCTGCAACGAAAGAAGCCACTGCAATGAGAGCCCTGAGCATCACAACTTGAGAGTAGCCCCTGCTTGCCAAACTAGAGGGCGACCTCAGGCAGGAACGAAGACCCGGCCAAAAATTAATTAACCAATAAAAATGAAACTAAAAATCACTTTGCTTGACTGTGTAGGGAGGTAACAAGATTTATACTCTGAAATAAAATTAAATGTCATGATTGACAACATAGGAGCCTAGTGAAAAAAAGGATCATCAAAAGTTAAAATCAGAGTGAGATCACCCCTCTGCTTCCTCTAACCAGTGATGAAATCCTGAACATACCATCTTCAGTCTCTGGATCATGGTTTCTTTAGCTGAACCAGAATCAGAGATTCACCCAGGAATTAGGAGGCGGTAGGCATATCAAAATCATCTAGAAGGTTTTATTCAAAACAAGGAAATGTCTCCCCCACCTTGTCTTTAGAAAAGTATTATATCCTTTCCATGAGCTGGAATTGAGAGAACAACAGAGAAGGGGAAAGGGCGGGTGCGGGGAAGAGAGAAAGAAAAGAAAAGACAGCTGGACTGGAAGTCTATCAACTGACTTTGACTAGGACCAGATATGGTCTAGGAAAGCAAATTGGGTGGAGAATTGTGAATGAAGAGTTTTAAAGGTTAGGTGGAATGATCTGGGGAATGAGGCCATTTGTAGACTGAAAATAAGCCCTATAGACTCATTGCTGGAGAAGTAGCCTCCCAGGGACCAAGTGCTTTGGCTGGATGGTTAATAGAAACAAGATCTGAATAAACACAGTACTTTTCTTCCAAGGATCCGATCTCCATTGTCTCTTGGCTTCTCCGTGAGATAGGCGTGGGTGGGTGCTATTTCCCCATCTCATCGTAGAACAAGAACACCAGGAAAGCCAGTGCCTTTGACTGGAGCAAGCTCCATCAGTAAACAAATATTAAGTACCTGACTTTTTTTTTTTTAAAGCATGTGTAGGGATGGTCCCTTCATTTAGTTCAAGGAAAACTTAACAAGTTAAAGGAAAATTAAGGTTCTATTGCTTGTCTCATATCACTGGGAAGGATTGTAGGGATATGGGCTCAGTACTTTTTTTTTCTACTAAGCACAATTCTCATCATGACACATTCCTGCCCTTCCAGGCAGTTCTTGCAGCCTGTCTGTGACCAGCTATGAGGACAAGTTGTGGTAATGAGAGACCTCAATTAACCAGGAAAATTGGTTAGATTAAGTTTTGTTATTAAACAAAGTCCAATCAGAAAAAAAAGGTTTTGACTCTGCTGTTTAAATTAAAAAAAAAACAAACAACTGAAATAAGAATGATGTAGTGTGTGTGCTCAGTTGTGTCTGACTCTTTGTGACCCCATGAACTGTAGCCCACCAAGCTCCTATGTCCATAAAATTTTCCAGGCAAGAATACTGGAGTGAGTTGCCATTTCCTTCTCAGGGGATCTTCCCACCCAGGGATGGAACTGGGATCTCTTGTATCTCCTGCATTGGCAGGTAAATTCTTTACCACTGCACCACCGGAGAAGCCTGAAACAAGAATAATAAAGGAGTGCAAGCATTTTATTTATTTTTTAATTAGAAGGAAATTGCTTTACAATGTTGTGTTGGTTTCTACCATACAACAACTCAAATCTGCCATAATTATACATATATGCCCTCCCTTTGCAAACAGTTTTAAAACTGAGGATAGGAGACCTTTGTTCTAGCCCTGCCTCTGCCATCCAGTGAATGCTATGATGTTTGACAAATAACTTAGGCTCTTTCTGTCTCAACTATCTCCCCTGCAAAATGAAGGGGTAGTTCCAAATAATTTTTATGATTCCTTTGAATGCTCTTTTATAGTTCTATGCTTTCTTTCTGGTGGCCAGGGACATCATCATTCTAATATGAGTTCATATCCAGGACTGCAGCATCAGACAGAGGAAGTGAAAGAGAATGGGTCCAAGAAATGCTCCAGGAATAAGAAAGAAACTTATGTTAAGTTTTGGGGGAAAAAACTTTGGTATGGTATCTGCTTATTTTAATATATTTTCAATGTTTACTATATTTCACCGTATTTGGTATAGGTTCATTACGATATATTTGCAAATCCAGTTATCTCAGAGTAGTAAGATAGCAGATGATTTTAATTGGCTCCCCAGGTGGCGACAGTGGTAAAGAACCTACCTGTCAATGCAGGAGACTCAAGAGATGCAGGTTCGATCCCTGGGTTGGGAAGATCCCCTAGAGGAGGGCATGGCAATCCACTCCAGTATTCTTGCCAGGAGAATCCCACGGACAAAGGAGCCTGGTAGGCTACAGTTCACAGGGTTGCAAAGATTTGGGCATAACTGAAGCAACTTAGCATACGTATTTGTTATAACTACACACTGGACATATATTGGTTGAGGAATAAGAAAAATAGTTACTAAAAAATGAACATTGGTAAAACAGAATCATTGAGGTTAAAAGCTGAAAAAATTTATATGTCTAGTTCAATCCTCTCACTTTCAGATTGGAAAACTGAGGCCCACAGAGATAACTGACATACTCAAACTCTGAATGGCCTTGGGACTACTGACCAAGTTTCTATCCTCTTAGCCCAAAAGTACTTCTTTTACTATAGTACACGTTCATCATGTTTTTCTATTTTATCCTTGAAAAACAAAAAAGGAGACAAACAGCAATAATCATTGATCATCCTTGTAATTTAGATTCTGCTTAACCAAGCTCACATAAACCCCCTGGCTGGTTGGGAAGATCCCCTAGAGGAGGGCATGGCAATCCACTCCAGTATTCTTGCCAGGAGAATCCCACGGACAAAGGACCCTGGTAGGCTACAGTTCACAGGGTTGCAAAGATTTGGGCATAACTGAAGCAACTTAGCATACATATTTGTTATAACTACACACTGGACATATATTGCTTGAGGAATAAGAAAAATAGTTACTAAAAAAATGAACATTGGTAAAACAGAATCATTGAGGTTAAAAGCTGAAAAAATTTATATGTCTAGTTCAATCCACTCACTTTCAGATTGGAAAACTGAGGCCCACAGAGATAACTGACATGCTCAAACTCTGAATGGCCTTGGGACTACTGACCAAGTTTCTAGCCTCTTAGCCCAAAAGTACTTCTTTTACTATAGTACACGTTCATCATGTTTTTCTATTTTCTCCTTGAAAAACAAAAAAGGAGACAAACAGCAATAATCATTGATCATCCTTGTAATTTAGATTCTGCTTAACCAAGCTCACATAAACCCCCTGGCCAATCTAGCAGTGATGTACTGTTCTCCGGGGGGCAGGGGTGGGGGGCAATCTATTAGAATCCAGGCTTCACCAATAGGCTGTGGCCAAAATTCATCTGCAGCAGTAAGGTGGGGTGGCCACCGTTTTGGTGTTTGTGTGTCTCTGCTTGCCAGTGAACATTATGTCATAATAGAGATCATTATTAACTTGTTCAAGAGACTAAACAGGACAGAGGAGCAAGGCAGAAAGGATACATGTGAGCCAAGGAGGAGAAGAGTAACGCCCTCAGCTTGTTTATCCAGAGACAGAAGCACACAGGATGCTCATCTGTAGTTAGCAGGGGCTGTGTGTGAAAACTCAACAGTCTCTTTATATCAGTTTCACTAATTATCCCACCCTTAATTCAGGCGATTTCAGAAAAAAGAGACATTTCTGCCAACTTGGAGTTAACTGATTTTTATAAATAATCTAATTGCATTGGTACTCCAAACAAGAGTTTCTTCTAGATAAAGAGTGACAAGCAAATGCCCTACAGAATGACAAATGTTTGCAGGTGCATCTGATAGGGACCATCTTTACAAGGAGACCAAGTTAGCAGAATAGTTTCGGCTTATACTGTCAACAAGGTTCCTCAGAAACAAGTCCATTTTTCTGATCCTCATATGTAATCTTCATAAATAAATATTTCTTATGCTTTACATCTGCGTGGAAAATTTGCCTCCTACACAAGCCCCACCTTCCAGCCAGGTCCAAATCTCTCGCTACCAATGTTATCATTATCCTTGGGAGTCCAGCTGCCTTGGGTTATGAGGATTTCTCGCAAATATGAACCAAAGGGAGCAAAACATAAAGGACTTCCATTTTTTTCCTTCCCATTTCCCCAAGTTAAATAACAGTTTATTCTGCAGGCTTTCAAATCACTCCCACAAAATTGGCAATCCAAGACAATCGACACATTCATGCTAATCCACCCAGAAGTAAATACACTGTGGTAAAATTGTGACATTTGCAAAGACCATAGCTCCCCAATTACTGAAGAATTAACTAGGGATATAATGAGGGAGGGCCAAGTGTGATTCAGCCCAGAGGGAAGCAGCCTTGCCATCCTGTTTCTATCCTCAAGCGAAAACTTTCTATACATTAGAGAACTTAGAAGTGTGGCTCACTTTGACATCTGCTTTAAATAAAATTGTTGCACCACATTTTTCTTGGTTTCAACCTAACAGCTGCTGTAACACTCCTAAAAGGTTGCTGGCATCAAAATATTTCTC